AATTATGAAATCACATTTTATTCTTCGCATCACGCTTTTAGGTTATAAAATAATATCAATGCTATAAATAAACTTCGCTACTCGTCCAATCGTGTTCGCTATATATATAACATTTTTTAATAAATAATTGTTATCGAATGGATTTCATGATGTAAGATTGTCTGTCAAGAAAGAAACTCGTTATCAATCGATGTAATTTATGAATTCGCAATAATTATAACAAATTATGACAAAGTGCAATAAATGTAGACAGAGTATAAACTGACAATTACAATCGACTACTTTTAAATAAAAAAAAGAAAATTCTTAAGTCAAAAATATTGTAGCAACTGTTACAGAAAAAATGACAGTCGCTAATCAATATCTTAGCAAGCAATTATATAAAGTTCATGAATAATATTCAAGAATTGATACAATAAAACAATATGTTAAACGCTCCTAATCAATGTAAATCTCCGTCGAGCTGTACATCGATCTCGACCTTGTCAAGGTCATCATAAGCCCGGTATTTGAAGAAACCAATTTTCGGAAAAGAAACATTTAATTTGCACTAAGAATATCATTACACGTCAAAAGATTACACTATTAGCGCGATCACGATTGTTAACGACCTTGTAACGAAGTTCCGGTACGAAACGATGCGACCGGCAAGTAACACCAGCATTTCTCAGAGAACTCAACTGTGCGAAGAAAATGACGAACTCACGCGGTTCAGATATGAACAGATGTGAATAAATCAAGAAAAAACTCTCAATTCACTAAAGAACCGGCTATTGTTTCGCGAGCATACAAAATGCTCACCTAGTGTAACGCGCGCGACAATCCGCACCGATCGTAGGATGAAGAATGAAGTTTGACCTAGCCAGTGACCTACACTGGTGATGCAAGCAGGGAGTTATCGATTATGAGATTCTCGTAGAATGTTAGGTTAAAAAGAAACGAGAAATTTATCTACTCTTGCTGTCTTACGCGAAAGAGATATATTATTGCAATTTATCGTGTTATCACGTATTGCTCCTAAAACATTTGGGAGTTTTTTTTATAACATCTCAGAATTACATAACAAGTGAAGTTTGTCTCGCATTCTTACGTATTCCAACATGAATTGGACAAATTGATAGAAGCCAATGGTTTAGCATCTTTTGAAAACCATTCAAAATTGATTGGTTAACCTTGAAAGTGTGCACCAATCGCACAGAAAATGTATGCGCATAACCAATCAGAAGCTTAGTGTAAGCGTCGTTTCATATAGTATAGTAATGCAATCTGCAAAAAGTTCTATACGACTTTAACCATTGATTAAAAAGAGAAGAGGATACTCAAAGATTGTTCTGATTAAGAATATCATAATTGGGCTTGTTCGTTTTAGCTGCACTGGGGCAGCTCTGGGTCTGCTCTAAACAAGATAATACAGGACAAACTATTTATCTGTCCTGTATTATCCTGTGTAGAGCAGACCCAGAGCAGCCCCAGTGTAGCTAAAACGAACAAGCCCATTATAACGTATTCTCTCAATATTTCGGCCTAAAAAATAAAAGTACGATTTCGTAGTTTACTTCTATTCCGCGAGTGTCTCTAGTTCCAATAAACCCTTAACATTTAACACTAGAAGAGTATGAACTGTAAGCACATTTGATATTAATAATGGTGTAATTTTTTAAATAAAAAAGATAATTTATTTTATTATTAGGTAATTATAATTTATTTTTCTCTTTGTAATTTTTTTTACGAAATAAGATATATGTCACAAAACTGTTTTGAATGTAATCCTAGTGTCTTAGTGAGAACTCGATTGGCAATATTGCTGCATTCTGCCGGTATCATTTGCGTAGGTCAAACGTGCTTATAAATATTTTTCATTTCAAAGCGTTTCGTAACATGTAACGTGTTGTGTGTCCAAGTTTGACAAAATTTTGGAAAGAAATGTCGGATTTTATAAAACAATATAAGAAACCACCATCTACTTTTGGTAAAACAACAATAATTAAAAGCAAGCTTGTTCAAAAACAACAAGAAGAGCGCGTTAATAGCAGAACAGAAATTTTAGAAAAAAATCGAAAGAAAAAGTACTTATTAACATCGCAAAACAGTAAGTTAATACAAAATAATATAATTCCTGTTTTTTTTAATGTATTTTAATTGCTTGCTAATTAAATAATGCAAGTTGCGCTTGTTTGAAATTTTATTTAATACGTTGACTGCTATAAAACATGCTGACCATCGTATCGATATTGTTTTTCAAAGATAAATTATGTACTGATATCACAGACCTATATGAGATATATTTTATATTAATACAAACCATTCGATCGTAATATTAAAAATGGCCTAATATTAAAAAACCTAGTACAATGGCCCAAAACATGAAAAAAGTTTTAGACATTACTGACAGCCAACGTATTAATAAGAGATATAAGAGATACACATCATACAAGTCAAGGACTATTCTTGCTGTTTGCACAACACTCAGAATTCACACGTTCAAAATTTTAATTTAGCTGTAATATAATAATAATCAGAATACATATATCTACTATTTTTTTATCAAAAGAGATTTAACAATATTTGCTGTTAAAACATAATAATAAATTTTTTAAAATTTACTAAATAAATTAACTCTATAAATACATGATAATTTTTATATAGATATATTAAATATTAAATTAAATTTTTACATACATAATTTAGTTATTGCATTATATTATGATAATAATTGAACTATACACATTTGCATAGAAAAATAGTGTGCGTTTTAAAAACTATTTAAATATATATATAATTTTAATATATTGCATGTGTGTGAAAGAAATTGATAAGAATTATTTGATTAGGCAAGAAATATTTTTGATTTTCTAATAAAACACTTAAAATTCTAGATAATAACTTACAAAAATTAATGGAGTGGAAAGCGGAACGCGCAAGAAAGAAGAAGGCAGAAGAGTTGACAGAAAAACCTCCTTTTAAAGTTGGAATTGTTCATCATAAATATTTTTCTCCACCTAATTTTTTGACTAATGATTTAGTTGCTTCGAAAAAGAAAAAAGTTGCTCGAACAGATAATAAAACTACTTTTAAAAGGAGAATTACAAAAGCTACGGAGAAGCGACTGAAAGCTAAAGCTGCAAAACAAGAAGCTCGGAAACAAGAAGCTTGGACACAAGAAACTCGGAAACAAGAAGCGCCTACAACTTCGAGCCACAATACAATCAACGGGACACTTTATACAAGTGGCGAAAAATCGAATAATAACAAAATTGAATCTATCGAACGGGAATTATTTGACCCACCTGATCACAAGTTTAATTCATCTGCTGATCTGTCTACCATATTATTTGGAAATGTATTTATAGAAAATACGTCAATCGAAGATATTCTTTCACATGATAAATCAGTAGAGAAAGTCTTTTCAACTATCCTGTCATCAGACGAAGATGAGCCTTTAAATTTTTCGCAAAACGAGCAAGTGGAAAAAAAAGAACATTCTACCAAATATTTTAAACGTCTGTTATGTAAAGAAAAAGATAGGCTCCAGAAACTTTGTGATAAGTGGACGGCAATACAATCACAAGATAATATTACGGAAGATATTCAATATCAAATTAATCAAGCAGTAGGTCAAACGACTATGTTAATTAAAGAGAAATTTGAACAATTTCGTCATTTAATATTAATTTGTGAAAAAAGTGAAGAAAAAAAAGATGACATTGCAGGAATAAAGATAACTTGTACAGATTTGCATGGATTTTGGGACATGATGTATATCCAAGTGAAAGATTGTGATTCGCGTTTTGCAAAACTGGAGAAACTTCGTGCTGGAAATTGGCAAGAACAATTATTACACATGGAATTTCTTTCAGCCAGAAAAAAGACAACGAAGACGCCGAAACAGAGCTCGTCGCGAACATCAATTTTAGGCAATCAGAAGAAAAAGAAGTTGGCGAAAATTGGAGATGCTAAGAAGCATTCACTGCCGATTAAAACAAATGACATATTTACTACGCCTTCCATGAGAAACAAGAAAACTGCTTTTCACAAAAATTTGGATATATTATGTAGAAGAAAATTGCTGTATCACACCATTCCTAACTGTACATCAACACCATTTTCTGAAAGTATTATGTCAAGCACTTCGAATCGTATTAGTACTTCGTTTATAACAATAAAAGTAAGCAAATTCTACCAAACCAAATTCAGATCAAGTGACACGTCTACACCACAGTTAAATAATGAAAAGCATATGTAAAATTAAGATCCAAGTCGGCATCAGTAATGTTATTTATATATAAAAAAATACTATTTATATATAAAAATGTGTATGTTAAAATATTCCTAAGAATTAGAAGAACAGCTACTGACGGAGATATTAGAATTCGATGATTTCTCAAGATCAATATATTTATTTTGTTAAATTAATCCGACAAATTACAATAATTTGACAAATTAATTTGACAAAACTATCGAACAACGAATTAAAAGATATACAAAAATCGCGAGCTTTATTAATAGACAATTCTGAATTTGATGAAATAATGTTAAATAAATATATTGATCTTGAGAAGTCAAATTCTAATACCTCTGTGAGCAGCTCTTTTTGTGAAACAATAATAGAAATAACATTAAAAGCAAACTAAAATATAAATTCTTAGGAATATTTTAACATATACATTTTTATAGTATATAAATAGTATTTCTTCTAAATGTGTTTTATTTATGTGTACAAAGCAATGATGTAATAAATATGTAAAAATAAAACGAATAATTGCGGTAGAATTAAATTGAAAAGATTGTTTCATTCTGAAAAATTTGTAACGCAGAAATAAAGGCAATTGTTTATTTAATTTTTCTCCAAATGTTTAGATACAGTTCACACAAATATATACAGACGTTACTGAGCACATTTACAACGGTTTGTATTGAAATCTGTGATTTCGCGCGTTAATTCGCACCAATATACATAAGCGAACGCTTGTATTTGCCGCGCTCAAGCGAGGGATTGACCGCGTCGCGCGATGAAATAGATATATAGTATATAAATAAATTATTTACCTAAACTAATTTATATAAATAAATTACTTAGGTACACGAATGTCACGATATCTAGCGTATTAATTCGCCGTTTCGGTTGTGCGAAATGGCGATAATACTTGTCCGGCAATAAAATATGTATATTATATTGTGTGGTCCTGTGATCTTTTCTCTCCCGTTGATATAGAATCAAATAATCTGATGATCAAACGCGAGCCGCGCATAAATATTAAGAAATAATTATAATCTACGAATAAATATCACGTTAAATATATATGTAGTATCTGCAAAATATCATCTTTTTTTTTTCCTTTGCGACCGCGCGAACATGATATACGAACACTGGGGAGATTGTACTTATTAATATGATGATACACAATAAGCCGAACGTACGTTGCGGCAGTGTGCCAAATTACGAGGCACACTCGATTTTTTTTCTGGCACTTAGATTAAATCGTATCGCACACGACTCGTTCATAATTACGATCTAAATTATAATATACCTCGATACAGCGATGTCCTTCGCAGTGATAGTAATAAAAAATTGTTCCGGCGAATCGTTTATGAGATATTGTCACCGTAATATACATATAGATTGAACTGAAGAATTTTCATTATTAATTCGCTTATTGTTAATCTTACCTATATGTGATCATAATTATATTCTTTATTCTGTTTACTTCGGATATATCGTCGGCATATGTCGGTGGCTCGATGTATTCATAAAATTTGGTCAGACTCGTTTATGCCTCTTAACATCACGATATGCTGCCTAGCATTTGTACGACGTATAGTTACTTTGTAATCGAGAATAGTTTTGAGATAACTGACATCGACGTCTACTCATCTATTAGAACTTTGTTTTATTTATAATCATAAAGTGTCCGAAATCGTTCGTACTTTCGTGGTTCATTTGTCCAGCTAACGTATTGTCTCTATTATAGTTATCATAACAAGATTATTTCATCACTTGAAATCTCATTGTAACAATAATGATTATCCGAGGGCATCGAGATCCCTATCGATCTTTTCGTTAAATTAACTGTAAATTCGATCAGGTCACCTCGACATAACATTCTTACGTCCGAACATGAAACATCAGAAGCTCAGAATCTTATTGTTATAGATTTAGCGATATATTCTCATAGTAGCTTGTCGATAATTAATTCTTTGAGTCATATATAGTCTGCGTCTGATATAGTGAGCCGCATTTGCAACGTCGATTAACATTCGACTCTCCGGCAAATGCACAACAGGATTTGGTTTCACCATCTTTCCTCCCATAGGCTGTTCATTAAGTCATCGTTGTGAGTCCATGCGCGATGAAAGCCGGAAAAAAAAAAATTTAAACGATAAAGAAGATTCATTCTTGAAGAGTCAGGTGTGCGCTTTTTTTCAAGGGCAACACTTGGGCGCAGAAACAAGCTGTCGCTCAACAGAGCTGTCTTCAACATTGTCGCGATTAACTAAGCTAGGTAAGTCCTAGGATTAGACTTCGAGATGCCCGCCGAGGCGTCTCCCTTGGCGGAGCACGAGGACCACGTCTCTTCGGCCAGACTGCCGTATCTCTGCACACCCGGGAACGGCGGCCCGGAACTCTGCGGCGAGTAATAGCCGCCCTGCAGTTGCTGGTAATAATTGCCGGCGGATTGTTGCTGATACTGTTGGTACTGATCGCCGCCCGTCAGGACGTTGCTGTAGCCCGAGTACGAGCCGTACTGAGACGAGGAGTACGACGAGGAGGAGTAGCCGCGCTCGCTCAGGCTGCGATAAGGCCCCGAATGGTGGGGCCTACCCTCCTGTCAGACCGGGGTGCTCACCGCGGCGGTGCTTATGTACTCGATGTCGCCGATACTCTTGACGCGACGGTGCCGCTTGCCGCCGCCAGCCGTCATCGGCCGCGGCGGCAGTTGCGGCGGTGGTGGCGAATTGCTGCGGACGCTGCTGCTCATGTACTGGCTGGCGAGGCTTCCGGTGTCCGAGGACGACGACGGCGATGCCTTCTCGCTTCTAGGCCGGAGACCGAATGCTCTGCTCAGGGATCCCTGCGAAAGGATGCTGCACGTTAGAATCGAGGGTTTGTTCAAGCGGTGGATTTCGAACTCTTCAGAGAGGTCGAAGTTACGAGCAAACGAGCGATGATGCCGATCAAATTTATTCAAACATCACGGAAGCTTGAGATGACGTACTAAGATTTCTAATAGGCTTATTTTAATATTTTTTTTAGAATTTTTTTGGATTGCCTGGGAAATTAAAGGTTTTTGAAGAGAATTTAAAGAGTGCCTGGAAATTTAGATAGAGATTGAAGCTGTCAGATAATCAGCTGGACTCTCGCTTTCATATTGACACCAGGCTCTAGTGTTTAATCAAGCGTAACTGTTACATTTATTTAGAATAGTAAAACGACTCTTTGGTGTGGAGGCAAAGTATCGCTATCTAAATTTCGTTTGCTGTATCTTCGGCTGGAATGAGAGGATCAGCGAATATCAGACAGAGATTTTAGGATTCGCTGGGTAGCAGAGTGATCTTTGCGTGATTGCGAGCAGTGTGGGGGGAATACACATGCTACGACAAAGAGAATGGCTCGTGTTCCCCGCTTCGATTTCGTTATTCCGAAACATCGACGATTGGTGAGCCCATCCTGATCGCCAATCATACAAATCTAAGTGATATAGAAAACACACGATGATCTAAACGGTGTGTGAATAAGGAAATCAGTGGAGACACTACGAAGGACACTACTGGTGTAAGTACGTACGTGATTGTATTAATGGCGCATACCTGTGAGCTTCTCCACGACAACTAGCAAAAGGACGAAATAAGGTCGATTAAGAATCCACACGTTGAATTTCCACATTGAAATCATCAGTTTATATTTACACAATCGATTATTACGGGCGAATGTGGGGCACCGCGGTGCCCCTTTGTAATCATAAATAAACGGCCCGCTATAAATATGAACGTTTTGCTATGTAATTCGATTTGCATAATTGCGTTAATTTAACCGCTATTCGCTATAAAGGTGTACCTTAAGATACGGGACATTCTGGTTACATACATGAGGAGGACATGTGTTTGGCTAATGTATATGCTCGTTATATACAGTGTTTACAGTGTAGCATTAGCGCGTACGCCGGTGTACTTAGCACCGAGAAGAGGGTATAATCGCGGGATTACGGGGCTGCATAATTTCACCGCGACTGCAATTGGGAAACAATCGATACACTTCTGAATATTTCAGCCGACGAATTATGGCCGTCCATGACGATGATCTTTAATTATGCACCGTATCGCGAAAGAATAATCGTGATTTCCGCAACAAGAAGTAAATTGTGCAGAATCAATATTGACCTAATAAAATTGATATCAAAAATTACGCAAATGAAATGAAATATTTTCAGTAAGTGAACAAAATGCGCAAATATTGTTGTTTATGTTTTCCGCACTTTATCGTATAAATAAGTTTAAATATTAATTCGATGGTAAACGCGATGATAAACAGATGAACCCCTGCTTCTCCCCTGCGCGATTACACATCTTTTTCTCAATGCGGCAGATTGTCTGGCAATCTGATTGGACTATAAAGACGGAAACAAGGTATACAAGTAGATGATTAGATGCAAGAAGGAGATGTTTCCGCGACCTGTTTCATTCTCTATAATTATAGATAGTACGACTGCAAGGCTTAGGCTTGTATTCCATCAGTCTTGTTCTCTTTAACCTTGCGAGCGGATTTCTGATTTAATGCGGATCATTTTTTTTTTCATATCGGTATTCGCGCTCGACAGATCGATGATAATTTCTCGACTATCTCAAAGCCCAGTACAATTCGACTCTCTTGTATTACTCCCTTGCTCGCATTTTCTGTACGATCGAGATCCGTAGGAGAATCGCCCGGATCTCGGCGAAGCGTTGCCTTGAATAGAACTGATCAATTAATCGCGTTAATCGGGAAATTTTCCTCTTCCGGCTTTCTTTTGCCGCGTCGCTTCGCTGAGATCGAAGATTTTGTCTCGAACGAGAAAGCGTTCACGAGAGTACGCTTCATCGTTCCACGATGCCGATACATTTTTGCCATACCGATGGTTTCTTATTTTACTTTCCTAGAACAGAATATGGGTACGAGTTCGCGATCGATCAAAACGTTAATTTGATTGTCACGATTAGATACACAAATATCTTCTACGAAATTATTTTGAGAGTTTGATCGCAACAAATGATAATTAACTGTTCTGTGAGATTATATCACGTACAGAAATTAATTGAAACAGAGTTAAAAATTGATCGATTGCTTACTCGCGTGCTCTCGCGGAGATCGTTTTCATAAAGTCTTCTGCAAGTTTTTCGAAAAAGGGTTAATGAAATTAAAATCGAGAGCGAGATAATATGAAAAGTGATAATTATATTGCAATTAATCTCAATTAACAATTAGCGAAGACTTTACAAAAACGTGCTCAACCGACTGCAACGATATGACGAGTTGATAGACTCTGTAATGGGGGTTCTATGGCATTATAGAACAATGTACAAAGAACTTTAGAGAAAGTAATATATATATATGTATATATATATATGTATAAATACCGAACCTTTTTTAAGTAAAGAAGACTGCAGGTCTGCGATGATCCACAGGATGCAGGGACAATGATTAACATTAGGTCGAGCTCATAGCTCACAGCGTGAAATTAAATTATTGACTCTTGTCGCGTGAAACTTCGGAAGAAACTACCTGGAACTTTTTTTAAAATAAATAAAAAATATAAATAGAAAAATTATTTTGAAAAAGTACAATAAATACTGCGTGTATTATATATAAAACTGATCAATTTCTACTTCATTATTGCTTTATCAGGATTTTATTAGGACGTAATACGTTAACTTACATGATTGATGAAAGTATATATATGTTTCACTCAATTACTAAACTATGATAATAGTTATTATATAAATAGTTGTTTTAAATTGTGATATCTATTCTCTCCATTTATATTTTTAACAAATTTCATAAATTTGAAGCCAATTTTGTATTCTTATTCATAATGAGAAATTATTCGTTATATCTTTCACTCGACAAGAGTCAATTATGGATATTAGGGGGAATACTTTGCTGTGGGGTATTATACGAGCGTTCTTAACTAAGCGATGCCATGCAGTCGTGCCAATGATTAACAAAAATAAAGAGCTAATAATCGCACAGATGAAATGCGTGAAAGTGAGCGCGAAAATGGGCCGCGAGAATAAATGATTGCGGTTGTGTTTCGGGTGAAATAATAAATAATTAAGGCTGTGTCATTGTAGGACTATATATTGATTCTAGCTTATCGAATAAATTATTAACATGTGGAGGAAATAATTTCACATGAAATTGATTAGAATATAAGAAATATTTTTTTGATAATTCATAATGTATGTAGCTTTTGATATGAGATAAATGTATTAAATATTCTTATCGTAATTATTTTATATTGGTAAAAAGAGGATTAAATTGCACGATTAAGAATGTGAATTGTTTTCATCTCTCTTGAGGATTTAAATGGAAGAAAGGAAAAAAAATGAATCTATCATCCATTGTAATCTTAAGGAGAGGATTAAGAATGTCATACATATATCATTTCCCTAAATATCAAATTTTCTACGATGCAATGACCATGATAAAAACAAGCATAGGCTTAAGAAGCAACTCGCCAAGAGATAAATCTCCAAGAGATCTATCCCTTCAAGAACACTATCCTTATCCCTTTCCAGTCCAATATTAGTGTAAATCAGTTTTTTGGTGTACAAAATTTAACGTGTAATCAAACATTTTTCATGTGTAAAAAGAGAGCAAAGCGCAAATTATTTAAAATCATCGTTAAATCTAAGCTAGATTTGTCGAATCCAGAGCGAAAACACTCGATCTTTGTATCGTTCGCTGCATTTAAACGTAATCGTCTTGATTGGTTCAGATAAATGATAACATTGGTGGACCGGAAAGAGTCAAGATGAGTGTACGGGCGAGGCGGGGAGCGGCATCGAGTTCCTGGCGCGGTCGCGCGCGGACCTCGTTGAATCTAGACGGTACGTTACCCTGAGGCTGGATCTGCGCCTGTCGACGGTGCCGGTGTGATTCGCCGTCATGTGGAGCGCCGACAGTGAGCTCTGATGATGCTGTAGGTGCAGCGCCCTGCTTCCACGACCGAGACTACCGCCCGCGCTCGCGGTGCTGATCGGACGGCCGCCCCCGCCGGTGCTGTTCCTCGGGACCACCTCCAGCTGACTTCTACGCACACACGCACACCACTCTTTTTTCATGCACGCCTTCTTGCGTACACGCGTCCTTGACCGCCTAATATGCACATACCTCGATCATGGACACACACACACGTGTGGCACGTACTACAGCGAACCGCTCTCAAGAGCATCTTTTTTATTTCTTTTCACAAATCTTTATTCAATTCTCGTTTGGCAAATCTGCGAATGCGAGAGACATATTTTCCCGAATATTTGATTGAAACTCTACTCGCGTAAATTATAATATTCACTTGTGGTGCTTCGGCCGATAAATGTTGATAGTGGCTCGCTGCAGGTGCCCAACGATAGAACGATAGAGATCTATCTCATATAATATATGAATATCTAGTTACAACATAAATATACATACACAAGCATTTTGTGCACCACCGATATAGAGTAATGTATAATGTTTACTGGGCTGCCAAATACGCCGGGGGTGGTCTTTGTCGGACCGACCACGGGGCGCATTTCCAGCCACGCTAACCAGTTAACGAGAGTAAACACCGAACAGTCAAAGATATGTAAATATCAAACTTGGCAAATCAGAAAAAGATAAAAGGAATCATAATGCAACTGGTGTGGTGTGATTCCTGGTCAGAGAAACGTCCGAGGAGCTTTCGTTCGCGAGATATATCGAGGGGAAACGGAGAAACGATTCTTACACATTGTTAATTAAATGGGGAGCGATTAATGAATTTGCCGAACAGTTAAAAAAGTATGCTAAAAGTTTCGCTTAGGGTTGCTCAAACAAATCGAAAGGCCTATGTCTTGGTTCGGTTGAGGGTGCGATACAAGAGGGGGAGGCGAGAGGTCTGACCAAGGATTACACCACGATCACTAAGATTAACATGTGCTGTACATAGCGCAGTGCAGTGCAGGCGGCAGCTGTGGGCTACGGCTCAGCTATGAGAAACATTACCGGTGGATCCGCGATCGAGTGAACTGCAGACCCAGCGAATCGCGCGCTGCGGCTGTGTGTGCCGAGTAGTACTCCGACCAAGTACTCACAACACGTTCCACTACGTGGTAATCGCGTCATGTTTGTATATGTACATTATATGTCGACTGTAGCTGTACTGTATTTACGTGTGTGTATGCCCGATATATATCCAGGTATGGCATGTGTATTTAAGAACTATGAGTATTTTTCCGGCGCTCGCTGCAAATGCGATTTCTTCCGCGGCAATTGGCCGCGAGAATCGTCGAGCGAGCGCCCCCCCCCCTTCGCTCTATCTATAGATCTCGATATATCAAGGGAGTCCACGTTTCAGTTTAATTTTAATAAAAAGGTGATTCATCGAAGTTGATAATTTCTCAAGTCACCTGAATCACTTGAATCCACTTAATCAATAGGGATTTCTCGCTCGAGCTTTAAGAATTTAAATAAATGTGGTCTTCTAATTAAATTTTCACGTAGAACAAATAACTGCCTGTGCGTTAAAAAATTTTCATAAAAATCTAGATGAAAATTGCACTCCCTTCATATCCTTCGTCTTCCGAGCCGGTTCTCGGAATATTTACAAACCCCCACGGGATTCCTTAGCGATACGTTAAATTACGTTTCTGTCGGTTACGAAAGCTTTCTGCGGAAGTTCACGGATATGTCTCTTACACGATAACTAACTTTACTCGTAGAAATTCTGGAAAAGTAGCTGCCTATCGATTACCGGCGACTATACAGTAACAACTTTCTCTCTTTCGGGGCTAATGCTATTTTACGAAAACGCGAGTGTGAATCGCTCGCGATGAGGAAACGAGAAACGCGTGTCGCCGATGAAGCTCGTCAATTTTCACGCGTAATTCTCTCGAAAACACTTCTCTGGGCGGGTGAAAGAGGAAAAGCACTCCCCGATTATATGTTCGCGCGCGAAGCACTCCCGTAAATAAATAATTGACGATATTCTAGCAAAGGTCTCTACTGTCTCGACTGCTGCAATAACCGAGGACAAAGTTGAGATTTATGGCGTAATTCGATGAGTTAACTTTGGCTACCGCACGTGGACTGAACGCGTGGAGTCCGGCGTGACGTGTCGTTCGTTGCTTTACAACTTGCACCTGCTGCTTACGTTTCGTGAGTGCATTGATTTTATTCGACATGCGATACGAGTCGATCGGGAGATGAGAACTTGAAACGACCGTACGCGATTTCATCCCCCGTTACGTTCTTGTCTCGAAACGGAGCCTCCATAAAGCGCCTTTGTGCGACGAACGTAAAAAAGGTCAATTCCATTTTATTGTCTTTCATCCAGCAAATTCTCCGCGATTGATCGAAAGATTGAACATTTCTTATCTGCTTTCTGGCCAACGCGTGATAAGACAGCAAATAATGTGAGAAAAGTCCTTTACGTGAAAAATATTATTAGCAGCGTTGCAACTAGTTCCCAATAAGTTCTCTTATTTCGTAAATGAATATGTGTCTCGCGCAGTGCCATATAGCTTTAAAAGGCATGTTTTATTTTATTGCGTGACTCAACATGTTTAGAACATATCCGCTCTCCCTTGGCGTACAAAGCGCGGTGAAAGTAGGTTAAAAACGCGTTTGAGTGACTTGGAAAAGATCTCAAAACGGCCATCAAATTCTCGTGGCGCTCTAAGGAGGCTCCTTCGAGGCGAGGATGCCGATTAGTATTTCGAGTGACGTCGGCGTCTCGTTGGCGAGCGAGAACAACGACGTCATGGCGATTAGTGAGCGTTGTCCAGTGTCGCCTCTGGATGACAGTAGACTGAGTACCTTGCTGGCAGAACAAGCGCTTCTAATTCGGCGGTGAGGTGTCGTCTGATCATGTGCTTAGCCGGCGGTATGCCCAAAGCGGTTGCCATGGTGTCGCCGGTGAACGACGGCTCCAATACAACCAGAGCACCGTGCACACCTGAGTCTGTGGAAAGAAAGATTTTTTTTTTTCCCAAGATTAATTTCGACGGCTCGTGAAAGTGTTGTCGACTTTAATGGCGAAAGGCCAATTGTTCGCATGCTTTTGTGTGTTATTATATTGAAAAAATACACCGTTTCAACAAACATCGCAACATACTGTTGCTACAAAAAAATGATGTAGATGCAACTTTTGGTAAGAAATTATAATAAAATTGAGGATTTCAATAATTCATCGAAATGTAATTCACCTTTCAAGTTCTCGGCGTATTCCGCGAGATCGATATTCCTCGCCCACCGAATGAACCTTTGATTCGTCCAGACCAAAGGATCTGTGTCAACCTGCTCGCATTGATGTCTCCTGACAGCGAGCGCCTATCACAAAAGCATGACGTCATCTCTTTGATGCTATTATTCAGCCGCAATTACATCGTCCGATTAATCTTCATGGAGAACTGATTCTAACGCGATCAGCCTTAGACGTCTCCACGTGCTTTCAATCAGATCTTGTAACGTTACTTCGGCCAATAATGCGAATTGACTCACCTGTCGATCATAATTCAGCATCCGCAGCAGATGAATACCGTGGACGATGCTGGCCTGATGAAACTTCCTCGTGACTCCGAGCAACTTCTCGAGCTCCTTCTTGCTCAGATGATCTAGCATACGCGCGTCCACCATATTGGTGGCGAAACTCTCCGAGTATTGGGCCAGACCGAGATCCGGCAGCCACTCGGAGCTCACCCAGGTGTGACCTAGCTGGGCGATGCAGGGATATCGTACGTGACTCGGGTGTCGATGTTCCTCGATAGCCAAACGCAGTTTCTTTCGATGAAGCGGATGAGTTACGCCTAATCCGGCCTCTAGCTCGGCGTCGCTCAATTCGAGTAGGACCTGCAAACAGCATTATGATAATATTAAGTTAAGTATTTTCAATGAAGAGTAATTTTCTAGACTGTTGCTGAAGTGAAAAATTTGAGAAAAAGTTTAAAGTGTAAAGGATAGATCTTCAAAATAATTAAAATAAATTTTAGCTTAATCAAGTGAAAGCACTTGGGACTCTTGGCGCCTGGCTAATCAACAGGTTAAACGGTTTTAAAGCTCGCCGGTGGAACAGATGATAAATCCTTTACCTTGCCCGATTTGACATTCTCAGCGCATCGCGGACCGTACTGCGGCATCCCGAGAGCCACCTCCAGCCAGGCTAAAACGGTCGGAGCTCGCCATCGTTCCATCGGCACGGAGGCTGCTTCCCTGAGTAAACGAAGTTTCTCGGCATATCCCTCCTCGGTGAGCGGCGACCACGATCGATATGGATCAAAGCCGTCTGAGCCTTCATTGCCGGCGCTCCCGCCGCTGGAACTGTTTGCCGTCTTCCGATGTCGCGAGCGGGCGAATACTCTGTCAAAACGAGAACATCGATCCATTCACACATGTCGCGTACAATAATGTCAGTGAAATATATTTCTATTTGTTTCAATTATATTTATCATGTAATATAAGCTTATCTATTTTTTTTTAATTTTCCTGCAAAATGCACGATTTTTAAGCGTTGAGTTATGTCGAGATATTGTAACATCGATTTGCGTATTTTGTTAAAAGCATCTTAGCCCGAAAAGATGTAATTTAATTTATGAAATGCGCAATCAATATTTTGTACAACAAATATTTTCATATAAATTTCGACTAAAGTAGGCAGGTAACTAAAACGCGAAACTGGATTTTTCCGATAGAGATAAATCTAATGCCCCATCGTGCCTCGTCGCGCTCGGTGGGATAATGGAAACTTACGAGATTTCTATGCGACACTCTGTTCCGCACCTAAAGAGCCGGTTGACACCATCCATCATTTAGGGTAAAATCGCGAACACAGGGATAAAAGCCTCATCGATATAACGGCTATAGTATCCAAGTGGGTGTGATTGAAAAATCGATATGTTTCTCGCGTATACAAAAGGTCGTCTTGTTTCCAGAAAATCCTATTATTTTATCAAATATCTATTTATACAAATCGCGAATCTACGTCTCTCTCTCTCTCTCTCTCTATCTGCATCTTTTTCTATTTACATCGTTGTGACGTAACCAACATCGTTGTAAAAGTTGCAATTTTCTTTTTACCGCAAACTCATTTCGCTCGTTTATACATTGTTAAGAAACAAGACTCGCGTGGTAATTACACGTTCCGTTGAAGTAGCGTCGAAGTAAAGAGTCATCAAAGTATAAAAACATCGACAGTGCACCAGCTGTTACATGCAAGCGCGTAAGATTGAAAAATCAATGAACAGCTCTTGTGCACTTTTGAAAGCATTTGCTATTGTGCGAATGGATCGTATCGCACAAGTGGCACGGCTTTATTTCCGTCGCGTGGTTCGCTCGCGGGAAGCTTTCGATGCTTTTTATCCCGCAGATATTATTTCTGACCGTTCGCGTTTGTGTTACACATAAATTATTCACGACAGCGAAACAATTTAACTCGCATTTATATATAAAATGTATCGCTCGTTTCGACGATAATTGCGATACGTATAATCAACAGGACCAGTTGAATAATTGATACTTCACTCGATTAATACCTGTTTAAGATCACGAGAACAATGTAAGGGAGAAATAAAACAATTGTAAAAAAAAATAACAAGCTCCTTATTTTGAATCTGTGTGATTTTAAAGGCAAAATCTTCGCACATCGCGCAGTAAAATATTCAATGTTTCCGTAACGGGACGGCCTGCTTACCTTGAAATGGATCCCCATGTGCCGCCGCGAGTGGCGGACGATCGCGAATGCGCGGCAGGTGCGACGACAGGTGGTGGCTGCTTGTTTCTCCTCGGCTCGGATTCCAGCGGACTGGATAGCTGCTCGACCGATCGCGATAGCGAAGAATTGTCCATGGATCTCGAGAACGCGTTCAACGGCGACAGCGTCGGGCTGCAATCTTTCGGTGTGGTAGCAGCTGAAAGCAGAAGGCGTCGCTCGGTTGAGCATCACGTCGCACGATGTTATCGTCGATTTCCCGTAACTGCCTTGAGCACTCGGAAGGAAAATAGGAAGAATGACATAGAAGTAGATCGCAGAAAAGTAATGATATGCGGAGGATGTGATAAAAGTCCCGCATGAGTTAAATAAAACCGTCGAGAAATTATCAATTAAATTATGATCGTATAAATACTATTTAGATGAAGATATTTTTGTCGTACTAAAAAAGTGTGTAATAGAAAAAAAAAAACATTAATTAATATCAAGCTATCAATAATGACAGGGTGTGGTACAGGATGTAATACATAGTTAAATCGGACCATCGGCAAGCTATTAGTGATTCATTTATATTTCTTTAAATGCCGCAAGCTAATCTTTACGTGTTATATGAAGATCGCCTCGTATACGTGTCTCAAGTCGTCTCATTCGTCGAGCATTAATCTGTTTATCATCCTGCTTAATGGCACAGCGAAAGGTAATCGATGCATGTCACATAAAGAACACACAGCGCGTCGTGCAGCGATCCTGTTCGCGTGCAAAAAAGTCCTTTTCGTGGGCATAGCTCGTTCTTGTCATCTGTCAGGTTTACGTGCATGCGCATGCATTCGGGCCGTGTAGCAGGCAGAACTTGTATCGAGGATACATCCTTGGGGACCCTCGACATATCGGTTTGGCTTTTAACGCACCGAGAAAAACGATGATTTATTCGAGTTGCCCTCGATCTCTTTCGGAACCACCGTTCACCATGTTAAGGCGCACACGCTCACACATATACGACATACACACCAAGAGATAAATGATTGCAGGGTGACCAGAATACGATAGCGATCGTAAACGCCCAATTTTACGGGCCGTCTTAATTCTAGAAAGAGTTTTAGAGATCCGCGAGAAAAAAAAAAAGATCTCGAAGGACTGTAACAATACTTCAACGCGATGATGATTATCTGAGCGTCGATCGATAAAATCACAATTCCGCGCTAATTAATTTGCTCAGTTCGAATCCGCACTCTCGATCCGCTATCGATCGATCGTTTATTTATCGATCCTCGCTCGAACCGGTCATTCTGCGATCGTTGACGTAAGAAAACGGACATCGGCCAGAGAGGAAGAGAGAGAGAGAGAGAGAAAGAGAGAAAGGCACACACACGCACACATAGAGAAGCAGCAGAGGCGCCGGGCGCGAACGACGGGAGGCGGGAAAGAGAAAAGCGCCGAGTGACAAGGGAGGTGACGACGATCAGTGATTTATCTTGGACACTTACATTGGTATATGTGGGGTGGTGCTACGGAGGATACCACGGAGATGCTGTCCATGTCGAGACCGCTGCCCTCGACCATAATTGTCGGCGTGCCTGCGCGTAAATATATAAAGGACATCAATTTCACAGTGTGAGAAGGGAGGAAGCGCAAGAGAGAGGGGGGGGGGGAGTTGAGTGTTGCCGATGGGGGCCCGGACGCGGGCCCCGCGCCCCGCTTTTATGCACGGAGACGCTGTCAAGAACGAGCTTCCCTTGAGGTCGCCGGGCGTCGGCGAGCTTGTGTTCTTTATGTCGCAGCACTCTCCCCGGCGAGACGATGCGGGCGCGCCGCCGAAAGTGGGACGAAAAGGCGGCGGGACGCGTCGTGACGGAAAGTAACTTGACGCTTGACTTTTTGCGGAAGATAATGGACACGGTCATTAGGGAGAATTTCTATCTAGCTAACAGGGAAAGTTTTAATTGATAACTTTGCGTGCGGCATAATGTTTAATTGATTAATTAACTTTTAATTCCACGGTGGATTATTAGCTGCGTGAGAAATTCGAAAGGGTTTTAACCGCGGGTTTTACGTAAAATTATTAAATTTTACTAATTAGTATTCCGCTAACTAGTTTGCCGGTTATAATTAACAACATTCCAAAATCGATTAATGCAATTCACTTAAATATACATCAAATGCATTTATGGCCACACCGTCGATCCTCTTGTTATTCCTGAGCGCTTGTTTCCTTCGTAAAAAAAAGAAAAGAAAAAACATCAAAAAGATAGATAGAGCCATGGTAATATCCTGAGCAAATGTTTAAACTGATAATGTGATTTGATAAGACTTTGGATAATCCGGGAACTTGAGCATTTCTGCGCGCCTAAAGTGCATCTTCCGTGTTCCTGCGAAAATCGTGCACGCGCATCAAGCTCCGAACTCGCGTTCTTCGGTGATCGCGAATGTTTGCCGGGAACCCAATCGATCAAACCATTTTAATGCAACGGCACGGCGATTGGCTGAATAATACATGAAGGAACGTGCTCGATTAGACCACCGCCACCTACGTTCGATTAACATTCGCGGCTGACAGACGCCGTTGGACTATTTTTCAAACCGGTACTTAGCCGGATGTGCACCGCAATCTCCTCTAACTAGACGATTAATCTTGGGACTCGTTGCAGCTAAACGTCGGAGTCATTATCTCTTAAGCGAATGTCACTCCGATTGTGATTAATAGTAATGCTGAATAGACCAACGCTTCTCAAAAATGTCCTATCGTTGTCATATAGTTAACGACTGTTCTACAGCGTGAAATCTCGATTTCCTTACAATTTCCCTAACATTATGAATGTTGGGTTAAAAACAATCTCTATATGAACACAAAATAAAAGCAATATCTAGCAATACAATATCAAGTCATCGTATATAAAAAATATTAGTAAAAAAAACGAGGTCAAGAAGAGAATTTTACGTCTTAACGCAATATTCATCTATTATTTTGACTTTCTTTTCTACATTAGCTTGCAAATTTTTTTCTCTTCTCTTTCTGTCCTTTTTAATTTCGTGAAGAAAATAATGTAGCCCAAAAAAAAGTATACGCAGAATGACGCTTACCGTCCGTCGTGGAATCCGAGAGATTTCCGCCGACGCTGGTCGCGCCGCCGCTCTCGCGATCGCTGGATCCGCGAACGCCGCTGTCGGCGCTGCAGCTGCCGCGATCGCCGGCCTGGCCGGAGGATCCACCCGCACCCCCGCCGCCGCCCACGTTACCCACGGATACACCGAGTTCGGTAATGCCTAACGGCGGCTGGGAGTTCACATGGGGGATGATACCACAGCCACCGCCGCCGCCGCCGCCGCTGCTGCTGCCGGCGCCGGGCGTCGCGGCGCCGTTCACGCTGCCCCGCGGAAACGACACCAGGGACTCCTGATCGCTCAGGCAGACCCCGCCGCCGCCGCCGCGTTCCACCAGCTGACGTTGCAGCTGCAACCGTAGAGAAATATACTTTAGAGCGTGGATCATTATGAATATCTGAGTGATTCGGAAATGTTTTCCTTCAGAAATATGTATAAGAAACTCTTGGTAGCGATATAAAGAATCATATCTCTTTTCTACAAACTAGAAGACTGTATCATTGCAAACATTAATTTCACAACCACCAAAGACAGAAACCATTGCCTCCAATTTAAATTCTTCAATTTCTTAAGAATTCCGCATGAAAATTTGAGAATTCTAAACGCATGAATTTTGCCGAAATCTCCCCAAAACTTGCTCAAACCCCGTGAGTTTTGAACTCGTTAATATAGAATGATGCGTGCGTTCGACAGGCAAAACTCACCTCTTTTATGGTAGCGTGTGCGTGCGAGAGAGCGGCCTCTTTGTCGGCCAAACTAGCCGCGAGGCTCAGGCTTCGATCGGCCTCGTCCCTCGCCGCCCTTAGAAGACTCCAGCGTTCCCTCTCCCTCTCACGCTCGCGTTCCTCTGACGGCATGCCCGCTCCTTGCTGCTGAAGACGTCCCAGGGTCGCCTCGTTCTCCCGCATCCGCTGCAATCAACAGTCAAAGGGACCCATGTCCGGGCAGTAACTCCGCCCCCAAAACCTTCACCGTCTACTGTGGCGTGCACGTGATGCGAAAATTGCGGGGAGTATAGCAAAGTGGCAAACTGCGATTTCGATCAGCATCGAAATCGCATTGTAATCGACCTTCCTACCGACTCGCGATATAAACGTGACGTATAAGACTTATGTTTGCGGTTGAGAAATATTTGTCTTACTGTTGTAACAGCGTCGCAAATCAATATTGTAAAGCGTTCGCCAAACAGAAAGTGAGTTAATAATTAATTAGAAACTCGACGAACGGCGCGGAGGCACGAGATAATCGATATTTGACAAAATAACTTGAACTGCGCCGGAGCTATCGGTAATTTCGCCGAAATAATGAGCAAACTAATAACGTGAAAAGCAAATAGCAGCTGAAAATCAAATAAAACTCGCGAACAAATATCCGTTTGATATTCACGAAAATGTCAACCATTCGCGAAACTGTTTCGCGTTATCTCCAGCGCGTCGCTGTGAGTGAGAGGACACTCGAGACGCGATTCATATCTTCGATATGCCTGACGCGGACGCTGATCCTCGTGATTGACGTTCTCCATTGCTAATTCCATCTCGTACTGCATAATTAATACTCGGTGGATGTATATCACACATACAATTAAATAATTACGAAGATCGGATAAATGTAGCAAAAATTATTTTAAACTGACAAAATGAAAATTATCGTATCATAAATAATAAAATAAAGTTTTTTAATCCACGTAGTGAGTAAAGCTAATAATATTCTTTCTACGTTGAATTCGTGTAAATCTTGAATACCTCTGCATATGAGATTTTCAAAAGTGAGATGCTATAATTAAGATTCATCATATACCTGACCTGAGATAACGTCCAGCTACGTCCCGACAAGGAGAGACACTCTCGCCGATTAAGCTGAGAGATAATTCGATTTTTCGGCTGCGATTATATTTTAGTGCGCGAATAGACATGACGCTTATCATCGGATATTAGACACTTCGTCGGCGATATCGACTACGGCAAAGTTAATCCACTTATCTCTCCCTCAAGCGCGAGTAACTCTGTCGTACGTCTAACAGGTGTTGCAGCTAGGTTTATCGGCTAAACTTTGCGGCAACATGGTTATTACAGGCGGCGTGGATCACCCGGGCGTTGGCTGTTAGCACGTCTAGTTTCCTCAAAAACTATTGCGCGATATCGTAGAGTTCTTCGTTATTCGATATAATTGCGGCGCTGAAAGTGCAATGGGCGTTATTTAAGTATCGAAAAGTTTCGCGGAGGGAAATTGAGGAAATTTCGCCGTCTCGAATATGAATTTATCTTACCACTATAAATTTATCGTTTTAGATAGAGTATATATCACTAATTGATTGTTTTAACAAATAATAGAGAGTACTTCAGATAAGCATCGCAAGAATTGATAAGAGAATTTGATGGAATAAATTCATTTATTGCTATCTCCCTCTTGTTAAACTCTTCCGTATAATTTTAGCGAGCTCGTTGCTTTCATAAACATTTATAAAGCGCTTAAGTACATTAAATTCCTTGAAGGCAGATAATTATATATAAATATGCGGACAATGTCTACAATCTTCCGTAACAGCACGATGCAAGAAAAAACCTAAGCAGTTTGAAAGCTTCAACAGCGGGCGAGGGGGTAATTCCATCAGCGTTTCATAAGAGCATCGTCGGGTTATGACGTCGGACGATAAACAAGAAGGAAGGACCAGAAAACACGTCAAGACTCGCGGAACAAAGGCGGACAGACTGAAAGAGATTGCGAAAACGTAAGTTTACGCACGCATATCTACCACGACCGGAATCTCTTTTGAATTCAACGGCAGATGTCGAGTTCACGGATACATTTAAGTAGATTTAAGTGTAAAAAGAATTACTTGGTTTATTTAAAAGCAAAATTAAATGTTATATTGTTCTTCTTGATAAATATGTGTATTAAAGAAATATGAGAGAAAAATTGAAAGAAAATTAAAATTTTAATTACAAAATTAAATAAAGTTGAAACATTTTGCTTGAAATTATTTGAAGCACCTTGGCATAAACCTTGACGGAGGGCGAAGATATTAATAGATTATTTTAAAAAATTAAATACCAAAGAAATTCCTCTTCTGTTCATCCACGAGTATAGCTGCAAACCTCGTCAAGGTGGAGGAAATTGAGGACAGTGTGGAATAGAAAATCATAAGGTCATGTACGAAGAGCAGTAATATGTCAGCACTCGCGAGAGACAAAGTAGATTATGCAGAAGAAGAAAGAGAATGAGTGAATGTGGAAGGAAAGACGGGAGAATGCATAAAAGCGAAAGAAAATTGACGGCGCGCTTTATGGAGGAAAAACTGCCGTAAAACCGGTGGCGACGCGTGTATTCTTTCGAGACAGCAAGGATAACGCGGAGGAAAACCTGCAACAGTAACGTGTCTGCTGGCAGTGACACTTGGTCTGTATTCTCATCAGAAATCCTCTCTCTTCTCTGAGACTTGTTTTTCAAGTGAGTGAGTTGCGAAATTTCAACTTTCGCAAGATTCAGCTCACGTAAGATTGTTTTTAATTTTGCAAGAACGAACATCACATGTGAGAGATGTAGGCGTTTCTTAGAAGTTTGCGCATAAAATGCATAAAATATGAAAATAAAAATGATGAATATTACGGAGTGCTACTTTCTTCAATTTTTGTTCAGATATGTATATTTAACAAATTTTAATATTAATATAACTTAATATTATTTTAAAATTTTGTGAAATGTTTTACGCCAAGTTTTTCGTATAAGGATCAAATTAATTCTTCTTACGAACTATATTATCTTTATAATATATATAACGTGCTCTTTTGCTCATCGTGTAACATTATTAAGTTCTTGTTTCAGCGCGTGCAAAATTTAGTTTCTTTAATACTTGCGCAAAAAAATACCAAATACAATAAGTCACAAAAGCGCGAAATCTTATTATTAATTAATCGCAGGCTCTTTCATCCGCCGTAGCATGCGCTGTGTAATAATACTTTTATTAAAATGCCATAGCTTACGATGCTGCTTTTCATCTTCATGCTAAAACGTCGCTTTTCGAAACAATACTATTAATTATTCTTAGCACTTCTTACGCACCATGATATCTTGTCAACAGCATCAAACGGACGTTTTCGCGAGATTACTGCTGTCATTATAAATTTGCAATCGTACATCGCATCAATCTTTATGAATAATTACTTTTTCTCTAGTAGAAAATTTCTACAGACTTGTGGTGTTTATTTTAGCATGTTTTATTATTTAACAACTTCTCCGACATCTCTAGAAATTCTCATTATACAAGAAAGAGTCAAAAAATAACCTTAATATTTACAGTCCCTTTTTATTGCCATATAAGATTACTTTTTGATTCTCTGCCTCATATTATACATTATTAATAATAATACATTTTTTATTTAACTAATTTTACTTTTCATGATAAACGCCGAATTTTTATAAAATGTAATATCTGGTATTCTTTAATAATTAAAATTTAATTATTTCTCTGTCTCTTTCTCCCTTTCTTTCAAATTATATTGTGCATATTTTTTATTCTACTTTTTAATTTTATGTTTTAATTTTTCGCTTTAAAAGTAACTTCATTAAAGACAAAGGGATTAGACTGAGATTCTTCCTGTACTCGAATAATCTGTGTGTGCTCCGTTTTTTACGCAGGTCTTTCGTGGCATCGGACAACTGCTCTCGGGCCTTTCAAGAATCGAGGCTGAGCCGTATCTTTGTTCCGGGGTTGATAACAATCGGTAGCGACAAAGGCTCGCTACATTCTCCCTCTTTGTCTCGGTACATCGTTACACATTGGCTTAAGACCAAACGGCCCCGTTACCGGGGGGCAATCTTGATGCGCGATGCGCTCTCGAAGCTCTCGATCCTCGAGCCTCCTCCAGTGATAACGGCTTCGTTCACAATTTTCATTATTCTGTTTTGTTCCGGAAAAATTTGCTCGAGGTTAATTTAATTCAATGTATCATTCGCGTACACTGCGCTAATTCGCTATAATTTATGTCTTTGTTTACATTAGAATACTCTTGTGAATTTTCTCTCTGTTACTGTTGCATATCTTTTTTTGAACAGCGAGATTGAAAGATTACATGTCCAACGCATCTGGTGCACTGAGAGACCAGCAACTGCGCCGCGTTCATCGTTGGCGAATGCCGTTGTTCATTTAACGGAATTGAAATGACCGCGACTTGACGTGGCTCAGCGATAACGGTCTCGGTAAAATGAGAAACTCCGGCAAGTTTAATAAAAGTATTTAGCAAACAAAATTGCCGTCGTGTGTTGCATGGAATGTCGCTTGCGCCTCGCGAGCTCGATGCGCTCTGGGAAAAAATTGAAGCACGGTCGGGCGAAGTGTCTTTAGGTCACAAATAACTTTTCGCCGCGATTAATCTTTTTAACTCTTCTCGCAAAAAAAAAAACATTTTTTTTACGTTTAATATACTTTCGGCAATGCGGATACTTTCGAACGACATTTAGCGCGTGCGCTCGCATATTAATGAAGTTTCAAGAATGAACCAATTACTGATTAACCGCCCGTAGTGAGAATATCGATTGCGTATATAGAAGTTTTTAATTACGTTCACAGAATGGCGGCTCTGGGAATCGCCGGTTGCGCACGATGACCCTCCCGGCCTTCTTTTTTCTCTCTCTCGATATTTCCGCGTCGCTTCATAAAGACGTATTAGAGGCGAAATTAAAATCCGCCGCGGAGCGGTTTCGTTAGCCGCTCGTTTCGCGTTGTTCTCAATTTTCATTAGCCGGCCGATTTGGCGAGCAAGCAGAAAATTTTGTTACGCTTTAATGGTTAAACCACTTATCGTCGAATTGTCGCACATCGTATTTTATCGAACGACGTATAGTTATGATAATGGAGCAAAAATCAAATTCCCTCATTATCTTATTCGCGGGGATTTGAAATCTCAGTGCTTTTTTTCGAAGAAATAATGCTTTCAGTTTGTTTTCACCTTTACTGTCTTTCGTCGATGATTTCAGAGTTCAAAATTAAAAGCTGCTGACAGTATTGCTAATGGATACCGCCAAAGCGGAGTGAAAGAAATGCACAGCGCTGGCAAAATAATTTCAAAAGAAAGATATATTTATAAATCCCAACGACACGCTCGACATCGCTCCTTTATGCCAGCAGCAATTAATACGTCGTTCTGCAAAAAAAAAAGTAACCGCTCTTCCCCTAATGCTATTTCAAGCACCGCCGGAATTATAAAAACATGAAAGTATCTTCATGCTAAAGAAGACCAGCGACGAACGTTGCGACGTCTAAATTGCGTTACTTAAACAATTTTGCTAAACATCTTTCTCTCCTCATCTTTCTCGTACGTTACTTAATCGACTTCGTAATAAATCTACTTATTAACAAATATACTTCAGCTTTCGTCTTTCGGCGATATTTTTACGCCCACAGCAAAAAGGCAAGTTGGAGAGGAAATTACAGCTCCGGCGAGACGATTTCGAAAGTTGAACGTTCATAAATATCGAGTGCGGCGAAGCATTCCTTCCGATTTCAACCAACGCCTTTCTTAATTCATCGCCGCGGCCCTTATCGAAAATCGATCCCTCTATATGAGATATGCAAATTGCGAGCGAAGGAGCATTAGAGTTACTTCCCGACTGTTTATTGCTTTCGCTCGCGGAATGTAAAAATTCGCTCGCGATTAAAATTCTAGACTCTGCCTGGATAACTTACGTGTCTCACTAGCGCGAACGCGAGATGCAAAGATAAAATGCAAAAGTCTCTCTTAATCCTATAGTTGTAAATTATGGAAATATTATTTCCACAGATGCCGTCGATTCTTTTATTTGTTATAATCGACGATAGAAAATCCATTTCGCAGCGTTCCCCATCATGGTTTAAAAGGACTTATGGAACCTTTCCAATATCTTTAGCTCGAACAATTCCATCGGGATCTTCTCGCATAAATCTAAAGTCATAACCGTCCCACGCGAAAAAGACGTTCTTCGATTTTCGAGAATAAATGTTCTACTATCAGCGGAATTTTTCCGAACTAATTTATCTCTGCGAAATTTTAAGAGGAATCATTAGAACCGCTGTTTAAATCTTCTACTGGAGCGAAACGATCGCTTGATCACTTGGCACATCGTTGCAAAATGCCATTTGCTCGCCACACTTTTCGCATTCATCATTTTCTACACCACATCCCAGAGTTACAGATAACAACTTTGTCATTAAGAAAACAAAAAGAAAGAACATTCTCGAGAGCATGCGAAGATCACAAAAGTGATATTATCTGCTGGCTTACCTGTTCGTAATTTCGTATAAAATCGCGTAGCTCGCGCTCTTTATCCTCGAGCGTGCCATAAAGCGCTTTCATCTGATTCAGGAGATCGAACTTTTCCGCTTTGAGCCGCTTCCGGTCAGCTTTCAGTGCCTGCAGTGCCTCCTTCGCATGTTGCAGTTCCATTTCTAGGGCGACAAAGCGGGCCTCTTCTTCCATCGCGGCATCGTCGCCGCCAACCTCGCCTCGCGACGCGCCACTCAATAACAGCCTCCTCAATCTCGCGACCTCGGCCACCAGTCGCTCATTTTCCAATCGCAGTCTTCTTGCACTGGCCAATTCCGCGTGTCCACCACCGCCGCCGTGGATGTTGGATAGTCTAGACGCCACCACAGGATCGCCAATTCCTAAAAAAAAAAAAAAATAATTACTCAGACTAAGATTAAATTTATATTAAATATTTATAATAAATATAAGCTTAAAATTGTCTTATTTCGATGTAAATTAAATTCTGAATAAATAAAATATAAATTAGTTTAAAAGAGAAGAAAAAGATATTGTCTCTCTGAGTACGTGTATCAAAGCTTTGTATGCATTTTTCACAGAAATTATTGAGAACTTGAGACTTGAGAACGCCGCTGGTTAATTCATAAGATCGCGGCTCACAAGGCTTAAATCTGGATCTTGCATCTCTTATAACGGACCTTGTACCTCGGAATAATATAGCGCTCCGAGATTCAGAGCGCCGTATTCTCAATAAATAGCACAATGGACGGAGGCTATCCAGGCAATCCGCTTAAAGAACCAAGGATAGGAAAGAAAGGCGCATCGGCCAGTTATTGTTCATAAAAACGCCGGGTTACCCACCGAGAGAATTAGTCGGGGACGACGGTCTGCTGCCCGGCGCTGGTCCGGGTGGTTCATTGTCCTCGTCGCCCCGCACATCGCCGTCCACCAGATCCTTATCGGCGTCCTTCTGGTCGTGATCGTTCATCTCCTTGCTGGATCGCAGGGAGTCGCGGTTAGTGGATATCCGGAGCCGCTCCACGCTGGAGCGGTCGCTGCCGCCGCGGTGCAGGAAACCACTCCGGTTGGCCGATCCCCGATCCGGACTGGCGCTGCCCGATCGAGAGTCAACACTGCCCCCGGATCCACCCAGCCGCGTCTTTTCCAGAGCGGGAGCGTACGGTCGACGCGCCTTCTCGCTCGGACTTCGACAGGGCGAGCCATTTCTTCGTTCTGGTGTGGAAAAATTTTATGTTTTTTAATTTTTTTGAATAATATCTGTTTCAAAACGTCACGAGAGTTAGAAAAATATAAATAATAGTCTAAGAAGAATGTAAATGGCGTAATAAAAGTCCCGCCAATTCTCTAAAAAGTTCTCGCCTGTATGTTTTTGTTCAAAGTTTTTTTGTCGGCCACATTCTTTTTAGACACACTGTATTTTTTACATTTTTATTTTTTCTATCGCTTAATACGTGTATAATTAAGATTTTCTTTTTGGCAAAATAATTGCAGCTATGAATAATTTCACCTCCGTCCGATTACAACACGATTATTCCATTTCCAATATAACACACACAAACCGTACTATTATTACATTTAAATCACGGTGAATAAGTTCGGTATGTTTCATTCAATTAACTGCATGATAAATTTATGTTAGCGTGGAAAGCCCATTCGCAATCAGAGTGTAGGTAATTTAAATCACGCGCTAATTAATTTCAACAAAGTTCAACACGATGTAATTGAATCGCGCGCATTTTGCATCGTGTCCTTTTAAATGACGCAGGACACTTCTCGGTGGATACGTTCGTACGGAGTTTGACTCCAACAACGATCGACTCGAATGCGATGAGTTAAGAGGCGAGGAGAAGAGTAGCAGCAGACGGAGAACGATTTATATTGGCGCGCGGAGAAATCGCTGGAATGAAGCCAGCTTTTATTGGAATGTGCGTTCGACCCAAGGCGGATGCCGTGCGCCCGATAAGGTGGACCCAATCGACGATTTCGACGGCGAATACTATCACGTGAAGCGCACAATCGATCGAGCCGATAAAACGGGTGCTCTGAATGCACTCATCTCCGAATTTGCATGCACACGTGGGTCACTCTCCCTTAAGTGGGTCCTGTTGGCGTCTCCCTTCAACAGAAGAGAGAAGACGGACACGAGTTGCATAATGTACGCGCCGTGTCTTTGATCTTTCGCAAGCAGATCTCTCATGAACGCGTTAACACGTTCCTTCTGTGTCAGAATATTATATATATATATATATACATATATATGTATTTAGCGCCATGCTGAAATTGTCGGGATTAAATTTTGACAGAGAGCATATTTTGAAGTACATTAGTTGCAGCGAGTTGAAATTCAAAGGATTAGTCGACGCACAATTCCAGCGCAATAAATGTGTTAAAATGTGAAATAATGAAATAAATAAAAGCAAAAATGAGTAGAAATAAATGCGAAGTGATGAAAACTCTTATATTCCGCGAAAACAACGACTCCAACATTTGTCACAGAGTCAGCTTTCATAAGCTGCAATAAGTAGTTTACAGGCTCGGTCGGCGATCCCGGCTTCAAGCTGCGGGAGAAAACTATGAATCATGGCCGGCCATAAAAATAACAGCGTATAACTGCGAGATATACAGGATAACTCGGCAGGGAAGTTAAGATAAACGTGGAAATGCGAAAAACATTTGCGCCACGCCGCCTTAAAATTTCATTCCCGGAAACTTTTTAAAAAGTCTTATCCGCCGAAGCTCGCGCGAAGTCGATAACTTTCTTTCCAGCCTTAAGAGCATTTTCGTTGCCGTGCTGTCTTTATGAAAATACTTTTGCGAAATAAACTCTGAACATTCAACCCGGTTCAAGAATCTCCCCAGAGAGCTCGCTTCTTCCACGAGAGGATTCTCCGTGCGCGAATCCTTTAATTTGAAACAGACAGCTTTCTTACACCGATAATCATATTGCAAGCCGACTCTTCGTTTTCAGATTTGTGTGCGTAAATATTTGTGTAAAGTACAAATAAAAATTAATTAAATAAAAATAAATTGATTAAAAAATGGAAGAAAGTTTTGTCTACAAACCTATGGGACTGGCTCGCCGCTCGACGGGACTGGTTCTATCCTTCTTGTCCACCGGGCTGGTTCTTTTGTCGATGGGGCTGACCGATTTATCACTGGCCGAGCTCCTTTTCTCGATCGGGCTACTGCCGGCGCTCAGCCGCTTGCCGTCCTCTTGCTGCTGAGCCTCTGCTTCCTGGCCAGAATTGCTAGCGGTTGCCGTACCGGCATTATTGTTGCTGTTACCGCTGCCGTTGCTGGCCGATGCTCCCGCGTTGTTGTTGTTCAGCACAGTCGGCAAGGCACCGCGGACGTCACGCAACTCGCCCCGAAGAGTCGCGCACTCGCCCCTGGCGCGTTCCAGCTCTCCGTCCAGCCGGGCGCCGGTTGCTGCGTTCTCCTCCACCATCATGCGGAATTTTGCCTGCAAACAGATCGTACGAGAATGTGAATAGAAATAAAATCGGAAAAATTGGCCGCGCAAAAGTTCAATAATTAAAAACTGTGAATTTGTAGTTGATCTATTAGCCTACTATTATATCTTATCTTGTGCTTCAGCATCTGAGTATCTTTTCAGCATGTAAGTATCTTTCAAGTATCTTTTCAATGTTTCAATTTACTTTAGACGTAATTTTAATTGTAAACTAGAGTTTAGATATTTAAAGTTGCTTGAGAATACATAAGCTTCTTTTAATTCGGCAAAAATCAGAATTCGCTTGTTCGCAGGCTGTCATTTTCGCGAAAAGTTACCGACAAAGTTTAATGCTAACGCCAAAGTAAAACGAGCAAATCACGGCGAAATAAAAGTTTCGTTTCGGCGTGAGGCGTAAAATATTAATAAGGCCTGTTTGCGACGGCGGGCTCGCATAAATCTCATTGCGCGTTTGCCATTATGTAGCGGACGAGAGTTCTTTACATGCCACGGTGGTATCGACTGATGTCGTCTATTCTATTCAGAAGTTTGCGCGCACGACGTCGAACGCGCCTTCGGAGTCGCAGCACGAATCGCTGAAATTGCGAAACAGAAAGACGCTCGGAACACGTAGAGCCGTACTTCTTTCGTACAGTCGCATTAGAAGTAACCCCGGGAATAAGTAAAATGCTATTTCTCCAAACTACGAAACTCAGAAGGCAGACAAATGTAAGAGAGACGCGTTGAAAAAACCTCAGTGTCATTCGCAGATTTTGCGACGTTTTTAATTGAACAATTGAGAGAGCCAAACAAAAGCAGCACTTTTATTGCCCGACTTCTATTTTTTTTCAATTTAAAAAAAAATATTCTACGAGAAAAATATTTCCCTCGACGTTTTATCGAGAAAGAAAATAATTCCACTTTACCAGAGATTTCTTGGAATATCTGAAGATGTTTATTTCTGATTATATTCTCACTAACGTAAACAGCTTCGGTACATTTCTACGGTATCGGCTACGTGCGAGTTTCTAGCGTCAAGCCGGAATTATGGCTTGCACCGCCTGCAAATTCAAAGCGGCGTTTCCTAACGGCGATCAATGAGACTTCGTGGCGCTGTCCGTATAATTTCCGGAAACGTTAATTCACACAAACGACTGCGGAATCCTTCGTGCAGAATAATAGATGACTCTCCCGTGTCCGGGCTGACGCGCGGGTCCATACGTTGGGATAGGTCGATGATACAATATGGTTCTCGCGGTTAGATACGAATGGTGCACCGAACGGAAGTGTCATGGTAACCGAACTCGGGTCAAGCGTGACTATTAACTCGCGATCTTGAACAAAGGAGTCGATAGTGCTCGGTGCGACTTGTTAACTTAACTCGATCGTCGAATTCGCTAGACCCAATGTAGCTTCAAAGCGTGACAGATTAAGTCAAGGATTATCCGAGATTTATCTTTAGAGCAATTCAAACGCAGCTAACATATTAATACTTAACGGTGATTAATATTTAACAAGTGTCTATTGATAGATTCTAGACGATACACAAGCTGCATAGAGAGTTTTGTGCGCGCATTAATGCATCATTCATATCTGTGCAGGTGAAATTTATATCAAACGTTAATGGTCAACCTTCCATTGATTGACGCGTTAATGTTATATGAATATATCAGTAGTATGTACTGATTGATTCTGTTGCGTGTTAATATTTATAGCGTGAATATTGTAATTCGATGGTATAGCAAAATGTAGAAAAAGCACAGAATTAGCTATCGTTTAAAAAAAAACGTATCAAGCAAAAAATACAATTAAAAGTATAAAAATAAAATTTTGAAGAACGCAGAAGACTTTTCCGTTCAAAAAAAAGTAGAACAGTTCTGCCATTGGCGTGAGAAGTCGAAGAAAATAATCCCTGTAAGTAACATTTGCGTTGAATCTGCATTGGATATATATTATATAAACAGCAAAAGAGCAAAATTTTGTAAGCCGGTTACATCACAAATGCAGATTGCATCGCGGAGAAAGCAGTCGCGGCGTCTCGCAGGACGCGCCCGTAAGCGAACGTTTCGCGAATTCAGTTGAATGATCGCTGCGGCGCACCGCAGTACCGAAAGCTCAAACGAAGCTCTCTGAAATTTGCAATCTCGAAGCAAACCGACAGCAGTACACGCGCCTTTCCAAAGCTGCTATACATAAGCGGCTTCCGGTAAGCCGTGCCACTTAATGATACGCTGTCAAACGCGACGGTTTCTAATTGCAGTCTTGTAATGTTGGCCCGTCGCTAGTGAAAATGATCAATAAGTTGGCAGGATAAAAAGAATTTCTTGAAACGAAGCGTCTTATTTCATGAAGAAGAATTTAATGACAAGCTCGTTAGTTTTTCCATGCTTTAAGCAGCTTTGCACGCAAAGTATTGAGAACGTTTAAAATATCAGTATCATAATTATCTCACAAATATCTTTATTTTTATAAATATCTCGTCAGCATAAATCGTTATACGTCTCTTCGGTTTCCATATTGGCTGAAGGATCGCCAATATGTGGACTTCGCGAGAGATGCAATTAATTATTGTGCAACGATCGCGAATGTCACGCTAGTAATCGAGTGCCATGAAGCCTCAAAGGCAGAAATATATCGAGGAACTGAAGAGAACGAGGAAGAGCGAAGCGAAGAGTGGCCGTCGAGGGGACTATCATTGGCCAACTTCCAGCGACACAAAAGGATAACGAGAAGAAGAAGAAAGCATCTCTCGCGGACTTGTTGCATTCCCAGCGGCGTCTCCACCCTTTCCCTTCGGCGTGAACGCTTCGACAACGATCGCATTCACGCCCTTTTCACAGTCGTGAGCCGTCGGAATCGCGATGATAAATTTCCGCCGAATGGAAACAAGCGGTGAGCGAAGACCACTCTCCGCGCTGGAGAGCAGTTTCGCCTTTAGTGCATGGCGTTTAAACGTCACCGTGGCCTCTTGCAAAATGTATACTTCGCTGCAGTGCTGTTAAACCACCGGATCTCCGATTCGTACATAGTGTTTCCGCAGAAGAGATCAATACCGGAGGTAATGGCGTTGATAACGCTTGCTTTCTCAGCTGCGCAAATTTTGATAAAAAGCTCACATAAATGTCTCACTTTTATATATTATTTTTAACTAAAATCCTATACATTATATTCAATCTATATTATTCTACATTATAATTTTGAAACGGTACGTTTTTCTGCGCGGAGTAACTCGTCGGAGTCAGGAGTTCGGTCGGTTGGGGGCACGTAAAAGAATGCTCGGATGAAATGTGAGTAAAGCGAAAGAATAAAATAAAATAAGATTTATTTCTTAACTGATGAAGTCTGCTATATACAAATCCGCGTGGATACAGAGCGTTTGATATCTTTGTTTGAGCGCGGGTTATAATTTTATCTCGGTGGTGTCGAACAATGTGTAACGGTGGTCGTGCGGTGATGAGCAAGTGTCGGCGCAAGCGCGGGTGCCGCAATTGTCTCTAGGCGACTGCGAGCGCGTGGATCGATACGTTCGAGCGGCGTCGATGGTCGATCGACTGATCGATATGCTCGGGCGCGTGCGTGGTGATTTCGATGTTCGCTGTTGATTCGTTTAGTTCGCGATTGCCTGCCGGATTTGAGGACCCGATTTTAAGAGGATGAAGACGGGAGCGAAGACGCGCGTATTGCCCGCGTCTCGAAATGGCTGGTGTTCTAACGTGGAGCCGAGTATTCCCGGTGGTATACGGGTAGGCCCGTATGTAAGAATGAAGCCGAGTGCGCTCGGTAATATACGAGTGTGCTCGTATTTAGGTAACGAGACCGAGTATGCTCGGTTATAATACGAGTGCGCTCGTATGTTATAATACGAGTGCGCTCGTATGCAAGGTAACGAAACCGAATATGCTCGGTAACGTGCGAGTATGCTCGCACGACGGAACGGAGGACAGTTCCTGGCGGCCGAGTATGCTCGGCAGGAATACGAGAATTCTCGTATCGTGGTCTAGAGCCGAGTATGCTCGGCGAGGATACGGGTGTGCCCGTAACGTGGAAGCGGTTCCTGAGGCCGAGTATGCTCGGTTGGTGCACGAGTATGCTCGTGCTCGTGAGGCTGCTGGGCATAGACTTCGAGTATTCTCGAAGGATTACGAGTGCTCTCGCAACAGGACGTTCACTGGCGAGCAGTGAACGGGATCTGGTAGAGAAGCGTACAGCCGGGCCTCTTTTATACCCGGCTGCTGCCCGGCTGCCGCCCGACTGGCGAAGGATCGGCAAGCATCGGCGGTTTAGCCGGCGGACCCCCACCTGGTAAATTTCGAAAACGGTCGGGTGTGGGGGCCGTCCGGCGATTGACCGTCGGTGTTTGTATGAAAAGTTTATCGGCGCGCGATGCGCCCTTTTTGGCTACGGACGATGTTCAGTCCGTAGCCGTGACGATGCATGCTGCATCGTTACAATTTTTATTAAAATATTCAAACATTTAATTTTACATTTTAATCTACAATTAAATGCAAATAGAACTCTCGTAAAATGTTAATTAATTCATTCATTGTTAACTAATTGAGTCTAATAAAATAATTTAATATTGGAAAGAATTAATTTAATTAATTTTTGACTAATTTATTAGAATTAATTTTCAATTGAACAAAACGCGTATTGTTAATCGACACTATTAATATTACAGTCGAATTAGTCGAATATCGTCGGACAGTTTTGAGTTGAGTTCAGCCGGGTTATCTATCCATTCCGGGCTATGTCTGACTACACAACGGATTCTGGATTATTCGACCAGAGTTGCAAACGCCGATGTAAATACTGACCGCGGACTATCGTGTCGATCGTTTGTTGCAGACTGCGATATTATGTCTCCCCTATGTTCGCGGCGGAATCGTCGATTGCGGGCGGACGAGAAACAATTTCGCGTACAATCGCTGCGAGTGTACCGGCCCGTAACAATTAAATGAACGATCGGGTCATTAGCCGAACAAATTGTCGTACATGGAGCACCCTGTGCG